CCCTTTTATGTAGCTCGTTATCTATGAGCACATATTGGGAAGCCAAGAGTCTTAAAGCTCGTTTTTCTCTTTTGTCAGCATGGGGAGGGTATTCTCCTTTGGTGACATAATTGAGTATATCCGTGTACCACGGTTCTTCTTCTTCTTCTTCTACTTCTTCTTCTTCTTCTTCTTCTTCTTCTTCTTCTTCTTCTTCTTCGTCTTGGACTACTTCATCATCTTCTATAGCCTGAATGTATGCTGGTTTGTGCCTTTTTTCTATAGTTAGAGGCATTTGCTCGATTTCCGTGGGAATCCTAACCATCGAGGCTAGTCTTGCCAAGGCATCAGCAAATTGATTTTCTTCTCTAGGTAGATATGTGGATTCTACCTTCTCTAACTGATTAGTAAGAGTTTCCAGATAGCTTTGGTAAGGGGATAAACTTTCGCTCCTTACTTTCCACCTTTTGGATATTTGATTGATGATTAATGAAGAGTCTCCGAAAATTCGTAACTTTTTTACTCCCAATGCCAAAGCTGTTTCAGGCCTATCACGCATGCTTCGTATTCAGCAGCGTTGTTGGTAACGTCGAAATCAAGCTTTATGGAGATTGGAACATGCTCTTCTTTAGGTGATACTAGTAATACTCCAACGCCGCATCCCTTTTGGTTTGAGGCTCCATCGAAGTATAAGGTCCAAGTATCATCTTCAGTGACCATTAAATCTTCATCTGGAAATTCATTGTCTTATATCGGCGTCGAGTCTTCTATTGGAAAGTCCGCTAGAAAGTCTGACACCACATATCCTTTGATAGCTTTTTGCGGCATAAACCTTACATCAAACTAGGCTAAATTGACTATCCATCTCGATATGCGTCCATTGAGTGTAGATTTCTCGAATAGATACTTGAGTGGATCTAATCGGGAGACTACAAAGACGGTATGCACTAGCAAGTAATGTCTTAACTTGGTTGTGGCCCACACCAAGGCGAGGCACAATTTCTCAAGTGGTGTATAACGTGCTTCATATTCGAGCATTTTCTTGCTTAGATAGTAGATTGCGTTTTCTTTGCCTTCTACTTCTTGTGCTAGCATAGCTCCCATTGTCTCTTTGGTAACTGTTAAGTACAACCTAAGAGGTATTCCGGAAAGTGTTGGTGCTAATGCGGGAGGATTTGCGAGATAGGCTTTGATCTTTTCAAAGGCTTTTTGACACTCGTCATCCCATATTACTGGTACATTCTTCTTAAGCTTTTTAAAGATCGGTTCACATATCGTCGTCAATTTTGATATGAACCTACTTATGTATTGCAACAGGCCAATAAATCCTCGAATTTGCTTCTCGGTTTTGGGCGGTGGCATTGACATAATTGCTTTGATCTTGGTTGGGTCTATCTCTATTCCTCTAGAGCTTATGACATAACCTAAAAGCTTGCCTGAGGTGACTCCAAAAGCACACTTAGATGGGTTCAACCTCATATTGTATTTTCTTAGCCATTCGAAAAATTTCTTTAAGGCTACTTGATGGCCTGGGCGGTCTTTTGATTTTACAATCATGTCGTCGACATATACTTCGACTTCTTTATGCATTATGTTATGGAGGAAGGCAGTCGCTGCACGTTGGTAAGTGGCACCCGTGTTTTTCAACCCGAATGGCATTACCGTGTAGCAGTAAGTGCCCCATGGCGTTATGAAGGTTGTTTTCTCCATATCTTCTTCTGCCATGAGAATCTGATTATAACCTGCATATCCATCCATGAACGAGAGAAGTGCGTGATTTTCCGTGTTATCTACCAGAATATCGATGTGTGGTAAAGGGAAGTCGTCCTTTGGACTTGCCTTATTTAGATCTCGATAGTCGACACATATTCTTACCCTTCCATCTTTTTTCGGAACTAGGACGACGTTGGCGACCCATTCAGGGTATTTAGATACCTTGATGAAACCTGCAGTTTTGTTTTTGGACCTCTTCTTTTATTTTAAGTGCTACGTCGGGTTTCATTCGACGCAACTTTTGTTTTACAGGTTTCATTCCCGGAATTAGTGGTATAGTGTGTTGAGCTATTTCTCTATTAATGCCTGGCATATCTTCGTATGACCAAGAAAATACATCGATAAATTCTTTAAGTAAGTTAATTAAATCGGTTCTTTCTTGTTCATTAAGTGTTAGTCCGATTTTAACTTCTCTTTTATTGGTTGAATCATTTGAGATATCAACCGTCTCAGTTTCTTCAATTACCGGTGTTTTCTTTTCGAGTGTTCCATTGCTTTAATAAGTTCTTTATCTTTTTCATTGTTAGTTAAGCAATGCTCGTCATCTTGGGTTAGAGAAGAACACAAGAAATAAGGAGAAGAAATTATATCATTATACTCTGAGATCATTACATCAAAGAGTGATATGTCCTCAGGGACTTGATCACTAACTATTCTAGGAGAAGAGATAGAAGGGGAAGGTGTTACTACTAAAGACCTAGATGACTCTATAGGGAGAGACTCTGACTCTGACTCTGACTCAGATGACTCTTCAAACATCGGTCCTTGCCCTGTCATGATGGATATCTTTCTTCCACTTGGAGTAGTCACCTTGACGGTCTTGCGCCACCCTTGTAGTGATCCTTCCGCTGGAGTGATTAGCTTCGAGGGATCGAAGCTTTCGCTTAGTAGGACTGTTTGAATGAGCGAGGATTTATCCTCTTTGTAAGTTGGCTCATCCTTTTCTCGCCCAAATAATAATCCCATGACGTTAAAGTCAAAGCACGGGGGTGTTTTCTCCTTATGGACATGAGTTGGAATTTCATCCATGAAATAGAAATCTAAGAAAATCTCAAATCCTAGTTTCCTTATGCCGTTTACGACAAATGGTTCGGGAAATTCATGGCATGGATAGTCCTCTCCTTCTTTTATGAATTGACCGTTAAGTGTGAGAGGGTACTAATCCATTGGGATTGCTTTCTTTTGAATGCGAGCGTCCCTATGTGCCTTTGATATTTTCTAGGCTCGCTTAAGATCTTTCCGAGTCGGTTCGAAACCAAGTCCGAAAGTATCTAATTTAGGGAGGCCAGGTGACTCCAGCGATTTTGCTATTCCCTTTTTCTTTCCTAGGGTCATCCCAGGAAAATGTCCTTGTTTCTTCAGAATAGCATTTACGATCATGTTAGAATGGGGTCGTGGCAGAGAGGGATCCTTTCATCCTCCTGGATTAAGGAGACCTCTTCGATAAAGCCCCATAAATATTCATCATCCTCATTATGTTCCACATTAATTATGGGATTTTCTATAGACTTGATTCTCATAGGTGAAGCATCGACGGTGATAGGAATTCCCCCAACTATGGCTTTTACTTGTTGGTGGAGAGATGAGGGGACGACCTTTAGGTCATGAATCCAAGGGCGTCTCAACAGTAGATTGAATGAAGCTTTAATGTCTACTACTTGGAAAGTAGTAGCATGTTCTATTGCTCTCGGCGTTATATTCATGGTAATTTTACCAAGAGCTTGACGAAGAGTGTTGTCATAGGCCCTTATTCCTTGTGTTGACGAGGTTAAATCTTCATCCCTTATACCTAGCATCCTCGCAGTTCTTAGTGGACAGACGTTAATGGTTGATCCCTTGTTTAAAAGAGTCATAGGGACGTTCATTCTCTTGCAAAATACTGTGAGGTTTAATGCCTTATAGTGTTTGTCACCTTCTGGGGGTAAATCCTTATCAGAATAGGTGATCAAATTGATGGGACTAGGTAGATCACTCGTAAGGAAGTTAGCCAACCCCTCAGGAGTGGTGTCAGAATCTATCCCTATTTTGTCCAAGGCATTCATTACAGCCAACCTATGTTCTCGGGATGTCGCCAGAATTTTCCACACGTTCATTTCAACTTTTGTCTTCTTGAACTGTTTGACGATATCATTATCTTCAATGACAGGTATGGGAACTTGTTGTGTGGTTGGCATGGGTTGTGTTGAAACGGGGGGTTGCATTCTCCCGGATCTTGGGAGGACGTCTATTGATGAATCTTCTTCAACCCAAAAGTCATCCATGGCGTATAACACCGAAGGTGGAGGTCCTACCATGTCTTTTAAGTAGACTTCTTCTTCATCGCTGTCCCAAACTTCATTAATACTTGCATCCTCTTCTTGTGGAACTTGGACAAGCTTCTTTTCATCAATCATTTTCTGAATTAAATGCTTAAATTTAAAACAGTTTTCGATGGTGTGACCCCCTGATTGATGATATTAACAGTAATATCTATCTGTCCTTTTCAATGATTTGAATGGTCTTGGTTCGAGAGGTTTGATCTCGCCAGAGCATTTCAAACATTTGTATATATGGGATCCCAATCGGAGTGTAGAGTCTATTACTCTTCTGGGGTTTTTCGGTGACTTGTAAAGAAAACGCTTTGCCTCATAAGTCGTTCCCATGGGTGTGAACTCTGTCTTAGGTTCATTTTTAGGGAGTGAAACCTCGTCACATTTCTTCTGAAGTTCCTTTATAGCCTTGAGAGTTTCACGTAGAAAATGCGATCCTTCCATCATAGACAGTGTGAGCGATTGTATGTGCTCTTTACTTGCTGGTTCTGGAAGGTTATCCATGGCGTCGAAAAAGATATTCTCCTCTTCTTCGATGGCATGGATTTCTTTAATAGGTTTGATGAGAGACGAGGGGTCAACCTTGTTTTCCTCATCAGAGATAGCCAAGGAATGAGCGAGAGGCGCATTATCAATACTTGGCTTCTTACTGGAAGGGGGCAATGACAGCTTTTTATTGTCGATTAAGTCTTGGATAGCTTCTTTAAGCTTCCAACAGCTCTTGGTGAGATGGCCCCTACCTTGGTGATACTTGCAGTGTGCATTGGGGTTCCAATTAGCCGACCTCTTTTCTACTGGTGGGTCTCCTAATGGTCCAATAGGAGTTATAAGCCGGACGTATTTTGTTCAATTAATAATAAGAATAATAATATTTATAAACATATTTTACAAACTAAAATAATAATTAAGTGTGTAAATAGGAGAGAGAATATATGGTGGGGTATATATCTAAATAGGAGAGAGTATATGGGAAAGGATACTCATTGATGCTGGAAATATTTAAGAAATAGAATAAGTAAGAGAATGGAGACAATGAAAAGTGTCGGGAAAAAAGAGAGTGTGATGTGCTAAGTGGAGGAAAGGAAAGAGAAATTAGAAAAAGATTGTTGATTGCTGATGTTCTAGTCTTTAAGTGGTTTTTTAAAAGTTTTTGTTTTACGACAACAGTTTTCTCCGTCAAGTCATGTCATTCTCTCTCCTTCCTTTTTTTTCATACTCGCTCCTCTCACACACTGACTACTTCTCAGACTCACCCTCATCTTCTGCCATACAACATTTTCTCTCTCCTTTTCTCATGTTTTTTTTTCTCCCCTTTTTCTCTCTCTTCCTTTTAACCCTACTTTGATTTCTTCATTCAAGCGGCCTTTCAGCCTCTTCTCCGCCATTGAAACAGCTTGATAGGTACCTTTTTTTTTAATTTTTTTTTTATTATTTAATTTTTTATTTTTTATTTTTTATTTTGGTTTAATTCATTGAATTTCAGCTTAATCTAGGGTTTATTTTCATTCTATTGTCAATATAATTGTTAGTATAGTCAATTTAATTTAGGGTTCTTTTAAGGTAGTTTAATTGAATTATTGGTTGGAATTACTCAAGTAACGAAGAGTAACTAACGAGTTTGTTGCTAGAATTTTACTACATGCAATTTATATTCTTAATTAATCCCGAATTTTTTTATGTGATAATTTAGTCAAATTTTTTTACTAATGTGTTAAAGAACGGTTTTCATTTTTCTTTTCTTTTATTTTATTTTTTTTGGGTTCAAGGGTAAGTAGATAAGGTACTTGTTCTGTTTTTATTTGTTTATTTTTTCTTATATATTTTGTTTTTAGTTTATAAAATAAATTGGAATTGGAATTTTCTAATTGAAAATTGGTTTTTTATGTGATTTTTTAATATATATTGAAGCAAATTATTTTGAGTACTATGAATTATACTCTGCTACTGTTTAGTTACTTCAAATATGCTTATTATTACTGAAATTGTCAACAGAAATGTATTAATTTGTTAAATCGAATATGTTAGGGAGTTTTACCTTGCTGAATTTTATCACAAGTTGACTGGTTTACTATGTGTATCTTTTGTAATAATCAATTTCTTTTGATTTCTTGCTTCCTGGAAATATGTGTCTTATTTAGTAAGACTTTTTATTTGTTTATGTTAGTTTGGTGTTTGTTTTTGTTAGAATTTTTGGTCGATATATATGTTGAAGAAGTTGATGATTGTATGCAATTACGTATAGGTGCATGATGAGGAGTTTGAGGCAATTGGCAATGACGTTTGCACCTCGAGATGAAGGAGAGGCAGCGTTGGACAACTGAAGAGGACGCGTTACTAAGTGCATATGTTAAGCAATATGGTCCAAGAGAATGGCATCTTGTCTCCCAGCGAATGAACACACCTCTTGATCGGGATGCCAAGTCTTGTTTAGAAAGGTGGAAGAATTACCTAAAACCCGGGATTAAGAAAGGTTCACTCACAGAGGAGGAGCAGCGCCTTGTAATCCGTCTCCAAGCCAAGCACGGGAATAAATGGAAGAAGATCGCTGCTGAGGTGCCAGGGCGTACTGCTAAAAGACTAGGCAAGTGGTGGGAGGTGTACAAGGAGAAACAGGAGAGAACTAAAAAGGAAATCAGCAAGTGTTTCGAGCCAATTGAAGAGGGCAAGTACGACCATATATTGGAAACTTTTGCCGAGAAGCTAGTGAAAGAACGGACATCCCCTGGGCCAACGTTTATCATGGCAACTTCCAATGGCGGTTTTTTACATAGTAGTGATCACCCCCCTCCCCCTGTGCCCCCTCCACCGCCAGTTACTTCTACCACAGCGATGCTCCCTCCATGGCTTTCAACCTCTAATGGAGTGAGGCCCCCATTTTCTCCTTCTGTTACTTTAAGTCTCTCGTCTTCTATTGTCCCTACGCCTGCCCCAACTGCAGTGGCTTGGCTTCCACAAGAAAGAGTACCCCATAATATTGATAACTCCCCTCTTACTTTGGGGTGCTTGCCATCTTGTCCTGGGGCACTTCCTGAGCAGATGATCATGACGGAGCTCATGGATTGCTGTAGAGAATTGGATGAAGGGCACCGTGCTCTGGCAGCTCATAAGAAGGAAGCTGCATGGAGATTAAATAGAGTGGAGCTTCAACTAGAGTCAGAGAAGGCCAGTCGAAAGAGGGAAAAGATGGAGGAGATTGAGGCAAAGATAAACGTTCTCAAGGACGAGCAGAAAGCTAGCATCGAGAGAATCGAAGCAGAATACCGGGAGCAGCTTGCTGGGCTGCGTAGAGACGCTGAAGCTAAGGAGCAGAAGCTGGCTGAGCAATGGGCTACTAAGCACATGCGGATTACAAAGTTACTTGAACAGATGGGCTGCAGGACTCGGGTCTCTGAACCAAGTTGATTTTCTGGAGCAAAATGGAATAATATGTCTATTAAACTACATATTGTCTGCTTGTTTGCATTGCTGATCAATTGAACATTAGTTTGCATTTTGTGCACTTGCTGTGTTTGCATTGATTTCATTCAACCATACTCTTGATTCATCAGCTACCAGGTCCTGTATAATTGTAAGAGAATGGTGCAACAAGAGAGCAGAATTACCTCCTAATGTAGCTGCATGTCAGCAGCTTTGAAAAGTGATCTTGTTGATTGTGAGAAGTTTTGTCTCTCTTCTATCAATTTATAAATGCTTAAAAATTGTTTCTCTTTAGTTTAGATAATACTCTTAAAATACTGTAGTTGAGATCAATATGGAAAGAGTGGTTATGGTTTAAATTAATGATGGGAATTATTCGTAATCAATATATATATTAAAACTGAATGACAAGCATTATTATAATGTCATTTGTTGTTAATCTCGCCATGTCACCTATTATTATCAATCAATAATGTTTTCACATAGAAAATTATAATATGTTAGCATTAGTATTTGAACCCATGATTTTGTATTCATTGAAGTTAAACTTTAAATAGTAAAGTTAATTGCCAACTTATATGTGTATATTTTAACAATAATATGATTATAAAGTTAACTTCATTCATTTCTTTTAGTTACTCTACCTTAATTCATATAGGTTATAATTAAGTTTTTAATATATGTTTGGAGTAGTTTGTTTTGAGTTTCTATGGTAGAATTTGATGGTTAAATTGTTTGTATAATTTATTAGTTTATCAATGGTTGAAATTATAAGAATCTTTCATGAAATATTTGATTTTAAGTTGCCCAATATGTTATCATTGTGATCCCTGGTTTCACTAAGAATTAGTTTAACCGTCATTTGTTGTTAAAAGTAAACAGAACACATGAAATTTATAGTAGATAATAAGTCATGCCAAGGGTGTTGTTGTCCTTCCCTGCCTTGCTCCTATTTTGCTAAAAAAAATTAAAAGTCAACAAAATAAAATCATATGTTTGGAGTAGTTTGTTTTGAGTTTCTATAATATTGAGTGGATTATTTTTACAAGTAGTTAGAAATTGGCTAAAAGTAACTTTAAATTGATTAAATGTTAATGAATTACCGTGAGATCTGTAGCTATTACGGCTTGTGTATAAATCAATAAATTGATGTGTCTTTTGTATTATGGCTTATGTATAATATATCAAACAAGATGATCATCCTTGCTCATTACATTACCATATCTTGAATACCCCTGATCCAAATGCCCCTTTAGTTCTTAAAATGTGTCAAAACAATTTATTGTACAAAGAGACTAATCCATAAGATTTTGAAAACTAGAAAATGTGCACATTATCAACAAATTTAGCTATTATGGCTTGTGTATAATTGCTAAACCTAGAGTTTTAAAATACCTATAGTTTGAAAATATGATTCATTTTTGTTTGAATTGCAAACAGATTAAAATGACAAAGAAAAATGTTGCAAAAATACCTCCAACACTAAAAGTTGCAGCAAAGGAAAGTCCTGCAGCAAAGCAGGCTGCTGCAAGAAAAAAAGCTACTGCAGCCAAGAAATCTCCTACAGCCAAAATTTCTCCTGCAGCCAAGAAAGTTCCTGTAGCACAACAAAAAATCTCCAAAGAAAACAGTAAATTCAAAGCAATCTGCAATTAAAGGTATAAAATCTTGAAATACAATAATTATTTGATATAGTAAATAGAAACATTTATAAAGTTATAAAGTAAAATTTTTAAATAAGAATCTAAAGTTAGATTCTTATGTTCTTCCCGTCAAAAAAAGATTCATATGTTGTACATTAAACTTATAAAGTAAATAAATCTAATACTCCAAGGTATAAATCTTAAAGTAAATGATTCATTTTATAAAGTAAATAGAAACAATGATAAAGTGAAATATTTACCTTTATAAGTCTATGATGTTAATATAAATATTATGACTAAAAGTAACTGATAAGTTTAATAAAGTAAATAAAAATGATTTTAAAGTACATATGTATGTTTTTAAGGTTATTTAACATGTTTTATATGTTTGTACTTAACTGTATTAGGTACTACACTTCAAAGGGGATTTCAAAAAAGAAATTATTGATAAAGAGAAGGCTTAAGGAACTAGAACCTTCAGAAGGTTTATAAAAATGTATTGTATTAGGATCTTAACTTAAATTGATATGCTGTGAATTAGATTATTTGTTCTTGAATATTTTAATTTTAAAAGTAAATATTTTAATACCTTCTAGTTTAACAAATTATAGGAACAAAGAAAAGAACAAAAGCTAAATTTAAAGATAACAATTATGAACCAGAAGAAGATTAGAATAAGGAATATGATGGATCATAAGAAGAAGACAGAAAAAAGGGAAAAACTCATTTAAAGAAGAAAATGAAGCTTGATATTTTTTTTATAAGGAGGTACATGAAGTTTTTGAGGTTAAAAATGGAAATGAGGATGATGATAGTAATTTGAAAATCAAGAAAACTCACTGCAGACCAAATGCAATTTTTGATTCGATCAAATTTCAGTGAGAGACAAAAATCAGATATAATAAGTGTTGGTTTTGGAGGCTTGCTTAAACTGATATTGACAAGAGTTTTAAGAAAGATGCTTCCATGGCTTTGATCATTTCAATGAAAACAACTGTATGTTCAAGATTTACTTGGTGAAGGAGTTTTCTGTTAGTTCCTATGATGTTCAAGATATTTTCTTGCTTCCACATGTAACTGAGAACAAGGTGAGTTATCAGCTAAAAAAGCAACCTATAGCAAACATGTTGATTCAAAAGGAATGGAAGAAGACGCTCGAAATTCCAAAAACTGATGACGTCTATGTCAATAATTTGGAGAACAATAAATTGAAGACTCTAAAGGAAGGAGGGGAGGGTTTTAAGAGATTCATTGTGATGTTTGTTTGCAGCACATTCTTGGCCCGTGTTGGAAACAAAGTGATAGATTACAAGATAATCAGCTATGTAGACAATGTAAATGAGATACATAACTTGGATTGGTGTGGTTACATGATGAATAACCTGTGCAAAGCAGTGGGGAGCTTCAAGAACAACAAACACAAGGAATCAAGAACAGGAATCAGTGGATGTGTCCTTATTCTACAACTTGTCTACTTTCATCATCTTGCATTCAGAGGGCAGCCTGAACCAACAACATTGCCCTTGATCAAGCATTGGTTAGATGAGAATGTCAGAGAAAGAATTAAAAGTGAAGAAAATACATCTTTTTGTCAAGGAAAACTCCAAAAGGATGTCTATCCAGTTTGTAGAAAAGTAGGTCAACAAACATATTTGGGAGATGTAATTGAGAACGCTTATAGAAACTTTTCTAACAGAGAGATAAGATTAGTGTCATTCAACTTACCAGAAGGTGTCATGACAGATAATGAAATACATGATGCTACAAAAGATGTGAGTAATTTTTTATAACTTCCAATGATTTCTTTTATCTACTTTAAAATGAAATGTCTTTACTTTAATTTCATGTTTGTTTACTTTCATTATATTTAATTGCTCTTCTTCTAGTAGTAATAATGTTTAGTAAATGATAAAGTTAAAGTAAATAATGTAAACTGAAAAGTAAATAAATTAACTTTAAAAATAAATAGAATTTGTGTTCAAAAAATTGTAATATTGTAATAATCTTGGGCTTTCTTTAAGTGTATGAAGGAGGAATAGAAGTAATTTTGATTGTACCTATTTGGTAAAGGCCTGAATTTTGCCATAACTTAAGTAGTACACTTCTGGTTCTTCGCCAACTGATGTTACAGATGCTTAGTAGTTAGTAAATATGCACTTCATGATTCAACCTGCAAGTCTAGACATATGAATTTTGTATGGAAAAACAAAATAGGAACAAACTCAACTTGATAGAAAATGGATGCATTATGGTTGTTTATGGCAATCTCAGTTGGTTTAATCCAGCCCTACCTCTGTCCAGTGGACATTTTGTGAAGGATGTGACATGCTACTAGGGCTTATATGCAAATGCTGAGTCTAGTACATTAGACACGCTACCTGTGCATATATGCCAATGCTGGGACCAGTGCATAAAGGGAGCACTATCTGGCTAGACAAGCAACTTAATGATGAGGCCGAGTAATGTAAGTTGTCAGGTTAATGTATCCATGTAGGTAGTTAGATATGGCTTGTATTTTGTCTATCGTGTTTATAATCTGAAATTGTTTGGCAACTTATGCTAGCTATTAGCTCTCATTTTGTTGAAGTGCAGCTTTACTGCTTCTAAATTCTAATTGCTTCAAAGTCTATGATCACAGAAAGCGGTAATGTATTTGTGGTGTTGGATAAACTTCTTATCTTGTAAAAGTTGGAGATAATTGATGACTAGCATCTGACTATGTTAAATATCTTGACAATAACACTATATCTTTTATGAACTGTCTTTTTAGCTATATTTAATTGCTTTGCTTCTAGTAGTAATAATGTTTAGTAAATGATAAATATAAAGTAAATAATGTACACAGAAAAGTAAACAAATTAACTTTAGAGTAAATAGTATTCGTGTTTAAAAATATTATAATATTGAATTTTTGTTATTTATTTTAAAGGAAATTGAAGAAGAACTTGATTGATTGGCTAGAGATTCAACACTCTTTGTAATTTTACACGTTGGGCGTATAACTTGCTTAACAGAGAAGATAAAAAAGCAACAATTGAATGTGTCTACTGAAGGAATTATGTCTTCGTCGTGTGCAATTACTAGATATATAAATGGATCAAATTATGGAGATAACTAAGTTCGTACATTTGGGTCGTCTTTTTATCATAGCTAGAGGAACTAACGATATTAGGGCTAGTAAAATAGCCTAAAGCCCAATTGGACGGATCCTATAAGGTCACACAAAGGGTCTAGATTGGGTACGAGAGGACGAGGCCTAAGATGGGCCTCTCCCCTAGTATGGTCAGCCACATGGGATGGATTGGAGGGTTTTGGGCGTCCTAACCCTAGTCTAATTATAATATGAATGTAAATAGACTAGGTGCCTAGGGTTTGCATGACATAAGTGTAATTCAGTTGATCAGTAAGGTCAAAACCCGAATTAGCAATCACAAGACCAACCCCTCTCATACTCCTCTCTCTCACGGCACTCACTCTCCTCCTCGGCGCCGGTTGTGGTGGTTCGTGGTGGTGGTGGTTCGTGGTGGTCTAATTAGTCCATTAAAGGTGGTGATCGTGGTTTTCCTCAATCACTTGACCAATCTAGTATTGGTGGACGGCTCGTTCGAAGCTCGTAGACTAAGTAGAGGAGCAACGCTTGGGGCTTTATTC